CGGACATATTCTCTACTATATCCTTGGGTAAAATGTTCATGAGATATATATCTGGTTGAAGGGGGAGGTTCCTCCCTACCGTTGATAGAATTAAATGTTGGATCTGTGTCTAAAATGGTTTTAGTCAGTGACAATGCCAAAAGATCCCTTTCACATTTCCAACATAGTAGTGAAGTTTCCTCATAAATATGGGCCAATCTTTGTGGCATTAAATAACATCTAATCCATATTTTGCTAGTGGCTTCCATGTGATCCAGGCAGTAGTTGGTCATCCACACCGTGCAGTGCCACTGCTTTGATTCAATCGTACATTGCAATTCACGTTCCCATTGCTGCACGTATTGCTGTTTTATAGGTTTGCTATGGTGCAATAATCCTCTGTAAGAAACCGACAATGGTCTAGCTTTCCTTATTCCTCCTTTACAAAGTTTCCCAAACTCACCCATCATGTGTTTCTCCACTCCCTTAATCTTGTGTTGTGTGAGGATGTGTTTCAGTCTTAAATAAATAAATATCTCTCTCTGATTAAGGCCAATTGTTGGATTCCCAAATTTGAATAGGCTAATTAAGTGTTCTAAAAACAAAGCAAAACTCAAAGAGTTTAAAGGTGTCTGGGTGCTTCACAATTCTTAGCAGAGTGTGTAAAACTATAGGTGTTCCCAATCACCTTAAGAATATATGAAACAGTACCAGTCATAATAATATTACCACACGTATACACCACCCAATGTGATAATAATACTTCCCAACAATCGTGTCTTGTAATTAGGAGCATCTTCCTCTCATAGAATCTATCAAAGATAAATTTTACAATACATAGTGAAGCCTGTACAGTAATAATATGAACAAGAATGTATAAAATGTACACAAAACAAATGGTTGGCAAACGCGTTTCGACTTCAATCAAGTCTTCCTCAGTGCACAATAAAAGTTAACCGGCTTTCCGTGGCGTTTTATATCCATCTTCAATTGAATTTTCGCTGCACCTTGCGCATCACTTCCGGGTTGCAGGCGGAGGTCTTTTCACATCTGGGTCGTATGTTGACTTCCGGGTATGCGCACGCAGCGTGCGTCCGAAATAATTTTCTGTTGCCCTCAGGAGTGGGAAACGTCCATATACAGTGTTCAAGTCCCACTATGAATTTATGAGGATAAAAAAGCAATTATAAATGTAAAATTGTAATACTTTGGTATTAAGCATGATTCACTATACAGATATCTTTTTTATACATAATAAGAGTCAATGGTAGGGGTAGGCAACCTTTTAGCAGCACTGTGCAGATATAGGATTGTGATGTCCCGTAGCGTGCCGGTCCTATTTTTTTAAATTGAGGTGTGTATGCTGCCGTATTCTGCTTGTGTTATTTTTACTGCAGTTGCTTTGCATTGTTGTATCTGTGCGTATATAAGCTATTATATTGTATAAGTTCATTAGTAGTTTATGGTATTGTGTATGATACATATGAATGTGTGCTGTGCATCAGGGCTGCTTGTGGAATTGTGTGTGGATGGATATGTCACATTGTGTGTTTGGTAGTGGGTGTGGGCTGTTTGGGGTATTGCATTTGAGAGGCTGCATGTGGGGTTGTGTGCATGTATGTGGATTGTTAGCGGGTTACGTTTGTGCAGATTGTGTGTATGTTTGTGTGTGGGCTGTTCGTATTATTTGTATAAGGGGAGGGTTATTCTTCATTTCTGTGTTATGAATGTAAATTAGTGATAGTAAAATGTCTATTTACTGTGTATACCTGTATTCAATATCTACTCAAAATGGCTGCTAGAGCACCCCCTCCCACTGACTAACTACCTCGTGTAACAAGATGGCACCTACATCCGGAGTAAAATCTCGGGATGATGGTGACATCACACCTCGTAGGATGTGCATTAGATAAGACACTTAACACCTAACCAGTTAAAGATGTATTCTCTCTGTTATCTACATTTTTGCATTTGATGTATTTTTGCCTTTATAAAGGGCTTGCCACCCCCTGAGTAAACATTCCGAAGTTTTTCATTAACCTGATACCTGTATCTCAGTGTGATTTACTTCAGAGTGTGCACGCATTTATTTTAACAATTTGGAAAGGAGCAGATACTCAGATAAACACTTGGTTTGATCCACAATATCTGTGTATATCTAGCAGTGTGGGTGGGTTCCAGTGGGGACCAGGCTGGCCTGGTACAGGTCAAAGACAGGAGCTGCAACAGCAGCTGCAGGCTGCTCTACTACGGTGTGGATTCCCATTCACAAGTGCTTGGAGCAAGTGATCTGAGATCATTTCCTCTATGTGCTGCAATGCTTAAGTTGAGGATTGTCCTTCACCACCTTTTCGTATTAGAAGATATTTTAAGTTTTACTGGGACTCCTGATAGGCCAGAGCCTGTTTGGCTCTAGCAGCCTTGAGTGCCGTACAAAGACACCTCGAGTGCCGTGCATGGCACTAGTGCCGTAGGTTGCCTACCCCTGGTATAGTTAATAGTGCCAAAATGAAATAACCTTGTGTTAGTTTTTCATTATACAATTACAACACTTTTTGATAATGTTATCAAATAAATCAACAGACTTTAAACTAATGAAGCAACAACACCTTCTGAATGTGCAAAATCCACCAGGTATAGAGGAGAACTCCAGACAGCTACAGTGAGAAAAGGGAAAAATTAAAAATTATAAAACTTAATAAAAAAATGAAAACTTTTTACAGCCCCCTTCCCACCATTCAAACGCCAACTACCCACTATACAGCCCCCCTACCCACCTCACAGCCCCCCCTACCCACTATACAGCTCCCCTACCCTCTATACTGCCCTCTACCCACTATACTGCCCCCCTACCCACCTCACAGCCTCCCTAACCACTATACAGCCCCCCTATTCACCTCACAGTCCCCCTACCCACTACACAGCCCCCTACCCACTATAGAGCCCTCCTACCCACCTCACAGCCCCCTACCCACCTCAGCTCCTACCCACTATACAGCCCCCTACAGCCCCTACCCACTGCCAGAGCCCCCTACCCACCTGCAGCCCCCTACCCACTATACTGCCCCTTACCCACCTCACAGTCCCCCTACCCACTATACAGCCCCCCTATTCACCTCACAGTCCCCCTACCCACTATACAGCCTATTACCCCTACACACTCCTCCTATCCACCTCACACTCCCCCCCACTACATATACAGCCCCCTACCCACTATACTGCCCCCTACCCACTATGCACCCTCTACCCACCTCACAGCTACCCACCTCATACTGGCTCCCCCTCCTACCCACCTCACAGCTCCCCAACCACTATACAGCCCCCTATTCACCTCACAGTCCCCTACCACTATAGAGCTCCCTACCAACTCATACAGCCCTCTACCCAACTCACACTATACAGCTCCCCTACCCACCTCACAGCTCCCCTATCCACTATACTGCCCCTACCCACCTCACAGTCCCCCTACCCACTATACAGCCCCCCTATTCACCTCACAGTCCCCCTACCCACTATACAGCTCCCCTACCCACCTCACAGCTCCCCTATCCACTATACTGCCCCTACCCACCTCACAGTCCCCCTACCCACTATACAGCCCCCCTATTCACCTTACAGTCCCCCTACCCACTATACGGCCCCCCTACCCACCTCACAGCCCCCATACCAACTCACAGTCCCCCTACCCACCATACAGAACCCCTACCCACCATACAGCCCCCCCTATCCAGCTTACAGAACACCTACCCACCTCACATCCCCCCCATCCACCTTACGAAAATCAAACCAGATAATATTTAGTCTTGCAGCATCAACCTCAAGGACCTCATTAATCACTAGTAAAGGTAATTTCAATTTACTTTATTGTTTTCTCATTAAACTTTGTAAAGTTGAAAACATTATAAACATGGATAAAGTAGAAATAAAAAGATAAATGTACGTACATTTATTTTATTTTTTAAAAACACCCTCCTTTCTAAAAAATATTCTGCACTTGCGTGAAAACTGGTGGGCGGTAAGGAAATTTTTCCATCAAGAAAGATGCATTAGTGGGCGGTAGGTAGAAAAATGTTGACTACCCCCGATTTAAACAATTATAAAAAATGAGCCAAATCAAAATCTAAACTTAAAGGACCACTATAGGCACCCAGAACACTTCAGCTTAATGATGTGGTCTGGGTTCTAGGTCCACCTAGGATTAACCCTTTCTGATGTAAACATAGCAGTTTCAGAGAAACTGCCATGTTTACTTTAGGGTTAATCCAGCCCAGTGGCAGATCCGGGGGGGGGCAACGTGGCAATTGCACCCCCCCCCCGAGAAAACCGACGGTCTCCCTCTCCCCTGCCAGCACATGCAGGCGCCAGCCCTGCAATGTGCCTGCGGACCGGAGGGGAGATCAGAGATCTCCCTTCCCGGTCCGCAGGCACTGTGCTTGCAGCCGGCGGGGGGGAGGGAGTGAGAGAGGACCCGGGAGCTCAGCCTGCAGCTCTTCCGGGTCCTCCTCTCGCGAGCACGGAGCATTACCGCGGTTACCACGGCAATGCTCCAAATCTCGCGAGAGTGAACTCTAGCCCTGGAGCACGGGCTAGAGTTCACTCTCCCCACTGGGACCACCAGGGAATCCCACTGGGACCTCCAGGGAATCCCCACTGGACCACCAGGGACTAAGAAGTGTCCCCCCTCCTCCCAGTAAAGGTAAGAAGGGAGGGGGGACATAAATATTTATTTATAATTAAATAAATATATATATATATATATATATATTATTAAAAAAAAGCCCCCCTATCCTTATCACACACACACACACACTCTACACTGCCCCCCATACTGCCCCCCCATACACACACATTGCCCCCCACACTGGCCCCATACACACATACTGCCCCCATACACACACTGCTCCCCATACACATACTACTCCCCATACACACACTGCTCCCCATACACACACACTGCCCCCCATATACACATACTGCCCCCCATACACACATACTGCCCCCAATACACACATACTTCCCCCCATACACACACACTCTACACACATACACTACCCCATACACACACACACTGCTCCCCATACACACACACTGCCCCCATACACACACATTGCCCACACTCACACATACACTGCAATTCTCACACACACACACTGCAACTGTTACACACACATACTATCCCACACATACACTGCATCCCTGACATACACAGCCGCCCTCACACACACACTGCTCACACACTGTCCCCCTCACACGCACACACACACACACACACTGCATCCCTTACACATTGCACCACTCACACACCACTGATCCTATGCCCTACTACAGCCCCATTTCCTCAGGTAAATTGTCAAACTGTTCTTAAATGGTTTGACTACTTTCTCTGGGAGGGGGTCCCGGCACTATTGACACCATAACCACTACACTGAGCTTCCCTAGGAAGTACCTAACTGCCTCACAACCTAATTGATGTGAGATAACCGTATAAAGGCTGGTGACGTCGCAAGTCACTAGCAAAAGGTCATCTGACCATTGAATGCATTAGATCTTCTTAGTGGTGGGCGGTAGTGCCTAGTTGTGGAGGAGTTCCTTCTGATCTATTTCTATATGTATGGAAGGGTAAGTGTCTATCAAACTTCTGTATTCCCTTGTCCACTGCCCTAGATCTGGGGGTAAATTGATGGGATTTTGGGCTGTTATAATGGTCTTTATGCTGGGTATAGGTGGAGTTAGGCTGTCCAGCTTAGGTATAGGTGGAGTTGCCCTGCCAGCTTCTGGGCCCATGTATTCCACATCTGCCTATAGAAGCTTGTGGTGGACACGGGGTTCAAATTCTGGGGTTGGGGCTGTGGGGTCACCCAGAGCAGGTTCAATACCTTATGTGGTTTATACCATATGAGTGGTTCCCGATGTTGCAGGAGTGCCGCTGTTTGTTCTAATAACAAAGCAATATAATATTTGTGGACATGGGGTACTCCCAGCCCAACCTCTTGCCATCTGTAGCTCATGGTGTTCAAGGATACCCTTGGGGGGCTTTCTCTTCCATATGTGAGCATTTAGCACCATCCAGAAAGAAGTTAGAATGTATTTGGGTATCACTATTGGGAGAGTTGTTAAAAAAATTTAATTTGTGGTAATAACATAATTTTGACTGAGTTTATGCGACCCAGCCAGGAAACCCCCTTTCTCCCAGCGATCTGTGGTTTGCTGTATTGCGAACAATAGCTTACAATGGTTCGCTTTCGCTGTTTTTGTTTGGAGGATGATAGTTGGATACCCAAATGCATGAGGATATCTTTCCTCCACCCAAATGGGTATTGGTCCTTTAAGTGCGTTTGGGCATCTCTGGACAGGTGAGGTAGTACTTGCATATTTGAACTACTGTTTTTATAGTAGGAGACCACTCCATAGGCTTTAAAAGTTCCATCAATGGGGGCAACAACCTCTGGGGCAAGTTAAGAGCAAGAGTACATCATCTGCGAATAGGGCAATCTTTTCTTCTCCTATTTTGGTAGCTAGGCCTGTTATCGTACTCGCTTGTTGGATTTGCTTCACCAGTGGCTCTAGAGCCAATATGAAGATTAGCGGTGACAGGGGGCACCCCTGTCTTGTCCCATTGAAGATGGGGAATTTCCTGGACATGAATCCAGTAGACATTTTTTTTTCCTGAGGGGGCTGAATACAAGGAGAGGGGTCTACTCCTGAAACTAGCTGGGATAATAAATCTTTCCAGTACTGAGGCCATGTACTGCCAGTGAAGGTGGTCAACTGCCTTTTCTGCATCAGGAGCCATGATCAGTTTAGGGGCCTTTACTATATGCATCAGTAAAAGAAGATCCAGGAACCTCCTCATATTATCCCTGCCTGACGATCAAAGTGGTCAAGAGAGGCTTCAACTTTTGTGGCATAACCTTCGCAAATAACTTTGTGTCTCCATTAAGCAGAGATATTGGGCAAAAATTGGTGCAGCAGGTCGGGGGTTTTCTCAGTTTATTTAGAGTGACTATTGTGGCCTCCAACATTTCCAGTGAAATGCAACTGGTATCTAGTATATTGTTAAATAGGGCAGTGAGAAGAGGCACCAAAAGTTCCTCATATTGCGCATAGTAATATATGGAAAACCCTTCCGAGCCTGGAGCTTTGTTTTTAGGGGTGGTTTTTAAAGGCCTCCCTGACACTGTCCGCCGAGAATGGTCTGTCTATCTCTGCTACCTGATCATTATTAAGCTGCGGTAGCTCAATTGCGTTTAAAAACTGGTCGATAGGCTGTTGCGTGGGTTGGCTGATTGTTGGTGATCCTCCTTGAGGTTATAGAGCCTCTTGTAAAATAATGCTAGTTCCTCTACTATAAGGAGGGGGTTGCTCAGCTTGGAGCCATCAGATGTCTCCAAGTACAGTATTTTAGATTGGGAAAATAATTTTTTCAGCATGGCTGCCAAAAGTTTCCCAGCCTTGTTGCCTTTTAGTCAGTAAGTCTTATAAATACTTATATTTAGTGGGCAAGTCCTGGTTTTGTGCTCCTGTCACATCATCTCAGGTGTTCCCGATAAACTGGCACACAATTGAATCATGGCATTTTTCCAATATATACTCAAATAGTGCCGGCTCTGCATGAGCCGACAGGGGATATCCGGAGACCTCCCCTGCCGGCAGGGGTCAAGTCCTGGGGAATAAAGTGTAAGAACTCTCCCAAGATTCCCACCCCCCCAAAAAAAATAATATACACTCGTGTATATATATGTGCACACTCACACTGACACACACATATATATACGCGTACACACACACACACATACACTCACAGACACACATATACTCTGACACACACACACACTTACAGACACACCCACATACATTCACAGACACACACACATACACTCACAGACACACAGACATACACTCATAGACACACACACATCCACTCACAGACACACACATACTCTGACACACACACATTCACAGACACACATACATTCACAGACACACACACACATACACTCACAGACACACACATATTCTGACACACACACACATACATTCACAGACACACACACACACACACACACACTCACAGACACACATACACTCACCCACAGACACACACACACACACACACTCACAAATTATTATTTTTTTAATTAAAAAATGTCCACCCAGCCTCCCTACCTGGAGAGCTGGCGTGGACATGTTCCTGGGGTCCAGTGGGTCGGGTGCCTGTCTCCATCTCAGCCGCGGTGAGGGAGCTGTGTGCTCTCTGCTCCCTTGCGCCGCGCGGGCTGTCTGCTGTAGCTGGCATCATATTCCGGCTCCCAGCATCAGCAAGCGGCGCACGGCGCGATGGAGCAGACAGCACACACCTCCCTCGCCGCAGCTGAGATGGAGACAGGCATAATAACACTGCTTAGGTGACCACCCCCCCACCCCCCGCTACATTAAATATTGCACTTACCATTTTTCCATGCCGGTCGTGTTGCAGCTGGCCATGCCTCATTTGGCATCCAGTGTTTTCTCGTAGGAAAGCATTGGAAGGCTATTGTGTGTGACAAACTCCCCTTTTCAAGTGAGTTTGCCATGAGTTCTTGGAGGAGCCTGCTTGCCAGCCTTTACCCTGTAAACTGTGATATAAAAGTCCCTGTTTGTCTATTGGAATTATATGGTTAGGTAACTGAGCAGCCGCATGAACCAGAGACCACCATGGAGCTTGTTAAAGGACCACTATAGGCACCCAGACCACTTCAGCTTAATGAAGTGGTCTGGGTGCCAGGTCCAGCTAGGGTTAACCCTTTTTTTTTTAATAAACACAGCAGTTTCAGAGAAACTGCTATGTTTATAATAGGGTTAATCCAGCCTCTAGAGCCTCTAGTGGCTGTCTCATTGAAGAGTATGTTTCCTGGCACTATAGTGGTCCTTTAAGCTTAATTGATACATTGTTGCAATTTCCACCGCAGTGGTCTAAGTGTTCATCTGGGTGGCCGCAATTCCTATGGACGACCATGAGGTGGTGGCCATCTTGTTCGCATGGACACAAAAACGGGTATAGACTTCTGGGGGACTTATCCGCGAATGCCCTGGAACTATTTTTGGCATGAAAACCTCGTGGTTCCAGGTCGGTCCTCCAGCGGCACTGTCACATCATGCCATGTTCTGCGGAGATATCTGGCTTTGGCTTCTGGTATCCAGTACTCTTTTTACAATTCTTGTTTAGTTTTTCTTTGTTTTCTGGTTTTCTATTCTATGTCTGGTTTTCTTTATGCTGGGTTTCTGGGTTCATTCTTCGATTCCGTCCCTGGATTTCCCAGTCTCTTGGATTCATTTAAATGTTTGTTTTCCATTTTCCTTTTGTTTCATTCTGGAACTGGATGCAGCTGCTCAAGCCTTCTGCCCTTTCTTGCAGGTAAGTGCTATATATGTGTTTCTTATGGTTCTTTTAGTATACATTAGGCAGAGTAGGGCCTGATGAATATGGGGTACACTGGCGTTGTGGCAGGCTTATGCAATGTATGATCATATAATGTAACTAAATCCCCATACTTTTCATATATAGTGCTTAGTTATGTCTCCTCTTGTTTTGCCTATTATATCTTGTCTTGTTTCATTTTGTTACCCCAGTCCATGTACAGTCCTGTCCCTGTTTAGTTAATGTTCCCTTATGTATTGTGTACATGTTCTGGGTTTAGCTTCTTATCCTTCTCTGGTTCTGGGTTCTACTAGTTCTGTCTTGTTTTCATGTTTGGTGCCTGTTCTAGCCTTGCCTTGTTTCTGTACTTGATCTAATGTCTGCTGCAGAGCCCCCTTATCCAGTTCCTGGGAGGTCTGCATATCAAGCTCCTAGTTCCTGGGATCCGCTGCAGCTGCATCACGGACCTGATATGTAGCCGCACAAACGCTGGTGCTCAACACCAGAGGGTGTGTGGTTACCCTGCACCAGGCCCTGATAGTCCATTACCACGCGAAGACTCACACTTCTCATCAGACACTCAGGGATCCCGGTTTCCGTACCGCCACCCGTGACAGGCACTTAGCCGTGATTCTATGGAACTATTTTTGGCTATGGGACCATGCCTGCGGTCAGTAAATAAATATGACTTCCATAAAATCTCTGAACCCCTGAATCGATCTGGGTGATTTTTTGATATGTTGGTCGCCCAGATCAGGGCTATCAGGCGATGTAACATTTGTGGGATTATCATGTTTTTTGGGGTACTTTTGGGACTTTTTAGAAATGTGTTTTTTCTGCCTGGAGATAATTGAATTGATACAGTATCTGACTCAATTTTCTCCCAGGCAGAGGGGAGGGATTGTATGTTTGTTATGGGAGTGTTGTGCATTTAATCACTGTTCTTATTGGTCTGTGTCTTTGTGTTGGAGTCCCCAACAAGGTCTATGTGGGCATTCACCTTGCATGGAGATTGTCATAAAAGGCCAATGTGGCACCATTAAAATCTATTCCAGCTTACACTCAAAAACTGTGTTTCATCCTGTTATTGGAGGGAAAGAAGATTTACTCCTGTGTTTGCTGTTCCAGCTTGCAGGGGATTCAACGGGGCAAGTCCTTGCAAGGACATGAGCTTCCAGGACTATTGTTCAGTGCCTGGGTGTGTCTAGAGCTAATTCCCCATTCGGCATCAGGAAGGAGCGGTTCCAGGTCCCCAGTCAAGCCACAGCGACTGAGGGCAAGAGTGCTGAGGTTTGTCCCCTGTTCCAGCTAGGAAGCGGTCCTTGGCAGAAGTACCCATTTGGGATACAGGGAGCTCCGTTACATTGTGCATGCGCATCAAAACTCCAATCAGCGCCAATCAATATCTCCTCATACAAATGCTATGAGGAGCATTCTGCATCTCTATGCAGATGTTAATGTTAATTTACAAACAATTGCTGATTGAAATATGGAGGGCCCACCACCCAGACACAATAGACTTTATTTTTTCCCATCCCACATGACACATATTCCTGTATCCATCACTCACTAGAAAATGTCCCCTTAGTCCACCTGACTGCTAGGACTGACATGGGTAGTATTACCTGGTCAGATCATGTGGACATAGCTGTATTCATCACAGACAATAAAAAACGTCCCCCATGGACATGGCGATTAAATATCTTCCTCTTGAACGATCAGAAGGCGGTTGAAGACTTTTCCCAAAAACTGGAGACGTACTTAACAGAGAATTCCACACCTGAGGTCTCTTTGGCCACTGTTTGGTCAGCCCGTGAGACAGTAATAAGAGGCCATCTCATTAATATAGCCTTGGGCAAAACGAAAGCCAAGGCAGATCTTATTAGGTATACAAGCTGCTCTAAAATTGGTGCAACACAAACATAAATCCTTTCTATCCCCTCAGACATTAGAAGTTTTACTCACTCTTTGCACTGAGATTAAAACATTATTGATGGATGATTGACGAAAGTTAAGAGCTATAGACCCATTTCCTTGATAAATACTGGTGCTATAACCTTAGCGCATGCTCTTACTCCTGCTCCAGACACTTATCCACCCTGACCAGATTTATTTAATTCCTGAAAGGCAATTGTTTGAAAATATAAGTAAAGCAGCGGTTCTTATTTAAATATAGATAACTGTCTTAGTCCTGTCGCTAGATGCACAGGAAGCTTTTGATACGATCAAATGACAGGTTGTATATTTTCCAAAAAATTTCTTATTTTCTGATCAGAGGATGCAAGGTTAGCAAAGTTTCTGCCATCCAGTTTATGCACAGCAAGCACAAATCCAATTAGTCTCGCACGGTGTGCTGCTGTATGAATTAAAAGGCCAAAACATCATATATAATTAGTGTGTTTGTCAAACTGAACAGTAGGTGGTGCATCTGATCCCTTACATACATTGTAAATGTAGATGGGAGCACTGCTTGCCAATGTATCCATAATAAACTGTCTCTCTGGTTCTAGCCACTTTGGTATCCTGTTGCTTTGATCTTATCCCTATTGTTTCTTATAACCAGTAAGGGGCAATGCTCTTCATTCATTTGAATCCTGCTCAAGTTCTTTCAGGAACCATAAGTAACAAGAATATAAAAACTATTCAAATTAAATTGAGAAGGTTATTGAGAATACACTTTTCGAGTTCTGGAACTTATATGTTCCTCCCGTGATCTTATGCATAATATTTTATGACCCCTATGTATTCTAGCTCCCTAGGATTTAAAGGAACACTCCAATAAATAAATTACTTTAGTTTTATGTGTGAAGAGTGTATACTAAAAAAAAAGCACTGTAGAGGTTATGGTGCCAGAAGTTCCCTGGTACCATTCCTATGGTAAGTAGTCAGATAATTTTTTAATGGTTTGACACTTACGAGGGTCCCCATTGACCTCCAATCTAATTTTCTTTTCAGCTAGCACTAAAGCCAATGCTCACCTTCCACAATAGATATATTATTCCATATGTGGAAGAAATACATTTTCTGTGAACATCAGGTCAAATGTATGTCATTAAATCAGAAGGGGAACTTCTGCATCAATGCTACCAGGTAAGGAAATCAAAACAGAGGTGCTCAGGTGGCCCAGCTAAGTCAAACCATTAGAAAATGGTTTTACTGCTTAGAGCAAGACAACACCAGAATAATTCTGACTTTATCAACAGGCAGAGATGAAGTATACATTCCTCATGTGATGTCTGTCACTGAGGCATACCTTCCAAAATTTTAAATAGAGGAAGAGGGGCACATTATTTTAGAGATGTGAGTGAAGGTGTGAACAGGGACCAGGCAGTTCTGAGACATTTTAGGTGACTTACTAATAGCAATTTTTTTGCAACTATAATGTTATTTAGAACAAGGACAATGTATCTTATTTACACAAACTGACTTCTAAACACATTTATTGTAGTTTAAATACACATTACTATACAAAGACACAATATTGCTTTGGAGTTCTGTTATACACTCAGACACTCCAACAAAATAAAGCACCTAGAAAAGAGGGATATTAGGACAGAAAAGGACAGAGAGGTCTAGGCCAAAAAAAAGGACTCTGGGAAGTATGCTGAAGGATTTAGTTTATAGCTTCTTTGAATTTTGCAAATCACGCAGTTATAAGGAATTGTAAACAGGGACTGGAGACCCCTTGCAACCTAACCTGTTAGGAGCATGTATTAATGATACACACCGCATAAATGCAGATATTATTTAATGCAAAACCTACACCGCCTAGGTTGAGAGATTATATTTGTGCTGCATTTTTGGGGGGGAATGTGTATAAGATTTGGTTAATCATTAAATCAGAATAAACTGCATTGTAAAAAATTGAGACACTGTGCTTTTAGATGAATGAATGCACATGATCAATTTACTACATGGACTCCTATGGAATTATGCATTATTTGAAAAAAATAAATTCTAATAATACATCAAGTTAGTTAGTTAAAGGGACA